CCCCAAAACCCCAAAACCCCAAAACCCCAAGGTCAATAAGTAACTTCCACTATTAAATATTGAAATAAATTTTTATTTAAATTCATGCTTTAATTTATTGCTAAAACCAATTAATGTTTATGCAGCGAAAATCCTTCGAGTCATCTCAAAAGAATGGCTACTAAAAATAAGTTTTGCCTGTATTGTTTTAATTCTGCTAGTTGATTCTTATATTTTCAAAATTTTAGTTGTTGTTTGCTTCGTTTTCTTAAATTCTTCGAGAATCTACGATTTCAAAATCCTAATCGCTCTAGCGTTTTTGTTGCTTGGACTATACTTGAGGTTTCTATCTGGGCTAATCATTTTAGCTGGCTTATGTATTAAAAGGTATAAATCTAGGATCTATTCTCTCATCAAGTATGTACTGTTTAGAAGCCTCAAATGCTAATTTCTCCTGTTATTTTTACTCTTCAATTTATTATGCTTTGCGCTTTATTGCCTCAATATCAAAAAAATCCATCTAAGAACTGTTTGCATTAAATTGATAGCCTTAGCTATGCTCATCTTCAGGATTGTCTTCATTGGAATGATGCTCTTTCTACTCTTCTTCCGAGTCATAATCTTCTGAGTCATCATCATCACTATCATCTCCTTGATTGAACACTGGATCTGGCATATTCTTGTTCATTCCATTTAGCTATTTGGCAACCTCTGTTTGAGAAAGCAGGTCTGTGTTTTTTTTATTGATTTTCATTATTGGTTAATCAGAAGTTATGTTATCATAGTTCTTCTTTCTTAAATGCTTTTTTAGAGTATCTTCGTATATCTGCTTAAATTTCGATGGATCCTTGACGTTTAAAAGAATAGCGTTTTTCTCATTAAGATATGTATAAGGATTATTCATCATTAACTATGTGGAGTCAATAACATTCTATTTATTCTGTTATTTCAAAATTTCTTTCTTAATGTACTAACCTTAGTACTCACAATATGAGAGATGAATAAGCTCATCATTATCTTGACTATTATGTTGAAATTTGATATAGGGATGATCTATAAGCTAAGACCACGACATTCTTTTGCTAGAATCAAATTGCAAACAACAATTCAAAAAATCCAAACCTTGTATTGACATTCTTAGTTTCTTAGGAAATTTATAGGTTCCTTTTTCTAGATTTTTCTTGAGTTCCTCTTTATTCTGACCAGTAAATGGCATAAATCCTGTGATCATTTCAAAGAATATGATTCCTAAGGACCACACGTCAGCCTTATGATTATACTTCCTACCGTTAAGGACTTCTGGAGCCATCACGATAGGAGTGCCACACGTGGTTTAAGTGACATCTTCATGTGATAACTCTCGTGCGAAACCAAGATCTGCAATTTTTATTTAGAAGTTCGTATTAATAAGATCTATGTCTCTTAGTATTAATTCAACTTATTCCTTTCTCTCTTACAAATTACTAATTTACTCTGCGGCTTGAACCTGAGGGTCTTTGAAATGAACTAAAATATTTGCTAATTTGAGATCTCGATGCATCACCTCCTTTTTGTAAATCTCCTTGAAGCCCATAACAATTTATTGTAAAATTATTCTTGCTTCCTGCTCTTTAAATCTTCCTCTAAGATTCTTGAGATTATCTAGATCACCACCATTGCATAATTGCATAATAAGGTAGTAGTTGTTTTCAGTTCTCTATAAGTCATACAATTGAATTACGTATGGACTTTAAATCTTCGTCAAGATATTAATCTCATTCTTTAGATTATGGAAAAGTCGAGGAGTAAGTTATGGCTTGTGAATAACCTTGACAGCAAACTTCTTTTAAGGTTTAGACTTATGAAAGCATCTGAAGACTTTTCCGAACTACCCTTTCCCTATAGGATCATTCTCAATAGAATAACCTTAAACTTTTCTCATTTGGATCATTTTATGAGTTATTTTACTAAAAATATATGTCGTAATTGAATTAATTCAAAGATTTGCCAAAATAGCATCAATTGGGGTTTTGGGGTTTTGGGGTTTTGGGGGTTTTGGGG